AACTGAACCTGAGACCCTTCAGTCTGCAGACCGATGCTCTAGCCACTGAGCCAAACCAGCTAGGGCTAGATATGCTTTTTTTTTTTTTTTTTAAACTATGTTTTTGTTGATTTTTAGAGAGAGGAAGAGAGAGAAATAGAAATATCGATGAGAGAGAAAGATTGCACTCTCCTCCTTCTTTGGGATCAAGCCTGCAACCCAAGCATGTGCCATGACTGGGAATCAAACCGGCAACCTCGTTACATGAGAGGACACTCAGCTGAACCACACCAGCCGGGTGACAGATACTCTTAATATTCCTGTTTTGCAGATGAGGAAATTAAGGCACAGATGGTAAACAACTTGCTCTATGTCATAGGTTTTCAATCCAGGTATTTCTATTGCTGCACTTAATACACTATGCTGCCATTTATTTATTTCAAAGTCCTCTTCAATTCTGGGAGTTCCTGAAAGCAAAAAGACCATTTTATTTGTTCAGCTCTATGTTCCCACACTTGGCAGTCCCAAGCTAATGGGCGCCCTGAGAGCTCACTCAGCCGTGGCAGACACCCTCCACTGTGACCAGCCCAGGCAGAAACTTTCTCATGAGTCTGGGATTGAACATTCCCCGGGTGGTCTAGGATGTAAGTAAATAAAGTACATTGGCCAATTGCAATAATTTTTGGAAAACAGCTCATCTGAATCTGGAGCCCAAAAAAAGGGAACATCATTCCACAAGTAAGAAACTCCAGAACCTGAAAAAGAATCAGAAACCAAATCTCTAAAGTCAAAACCACTCAATTAATATACAGAATCAACTCTTTTTTTAAAAAAAATATTTTTATTGATTTTAGAAAGGGAGAGTGAGAGAGAGATAGAAACATCAATAAAGACTGAGAATCATTGATTAACTTCCTCCTGCATGCCATCAACCCAGGCATGCGCCTTTGATCGGAATCAAACTGGGGACCCTTTAGTCCACAGGCCAATGCTCTATCCACTAAGCCAAACCGGCTAGGGCTCAACTCTTTTTGATTCAAGATGATAACTCTTGACATTCTGCTACCCATTAGTCCTTCATTATTGTGATAGATTTTAAATATCTCTTTTACATTTGACTTCTCCTCATGAGAGAGAAGTCAAATGTAAAAGATATGTAAATTCTATACAATAATAATAACTAAAACAACAACAACAACAAATCCAAACATGAAAGACTGGACAGATAAATTACAGCTGTGGAAAATCAGCAGATAGTGCCCATGACCTATACACATAGGCACTGAAGGGCCTGCACTCCGGACTGCTATTCTGGGATCTGAATCTGGCTTTGACCCTGACGACTGTATGATCTTGGTTCTTTAACCTCTGAGCACCTGAACCTCTACAAAACAAGGATAATAAGAAAACCTATGTTGCAGGGTTGCCATTAGGATTAACTGAAACATATGAATCAAACACTAAGCACAGTGCCTGGCACACAGCAAGTGTCCAACAAACACAGGCCATTGTTCTTCCTGCTTACTTAGTGAAGGAGGCAAAGAACTGGCAGCATATAAGGCACATTGCCACCAGCACCCATCACCTTTACTCCTGCTGCCTGGCACACAGCGGGCATTTCAATGGATTTCCACAGGATGAATGAATGAATGGCCAAAGTGGTTTATAGACTTTTATTCAACGAGAGAAACTAGAATGGTAATCAGAAGTAAGGCTTAAATGTCAAGAGGACAAGCACAGTAAACTCAAAATTTAGCATTCTATTAATGAGACCAATGTATTCAAGACAGTCACTATATAAATTCATAATAATTATTCCTAATGCATTATAGAAATTCTTTTGTGCCTATAAATTATCAATGGTTAAATTATTCAAGGAAGTTTTAAAATTAAGTATATATTATTGTATTCAAATGCTTTAAAATTTGGAAATCCATGTAGAGTCTAAATGGCAATGATGAATTAACTGGAATATTTTGATTGATTGCAATACTTAGTTTATGCTTTATTACCCACATGTATTGTTCCCTGTCTAACTTTTTTATTTCTCACCAGATGGCGAACGCCTCGTATGCATAGTGCTTTTATATCTACTGTGCCTGGAATATATTCATAGTCAATAAATAATTGCGTAATTAACAGCCATCATGTTCCATGACCATACCAGATTAAAGTTTTTGGTCCAGCAACATATGCTTTTGGTGTACTTACATTTCCACAAAACAATAAAAAATTTGTATGTTCTTAAGACCTTATAAATACAAATTTCAACATTTAAAAATATGATATACTTTAGGAAAATCACTCTTTAAAACCCTAAAATTTAAGACTAAATGACTTTACAAAATCTACTCTAAACTGTAAGCTAAAGCAACTAAAAAGTTTAGATGATTTCTAACAAAATCAGATAAAAGCTGTTCATTTTTTTTTTTTTTACAGAATAGTTTATTTATTTTTGAGAGAAAGAGAGAGAGAGAGAGAGAGAGAGAGAGAGAGAGAGAGAGAGAGAGAGAGAGAGAGAGGGAGAGAAAGAGAGAGAGAGGGGAAGATAGAAGAAGAGAGAAAGATCCATGTGACAGCATAACACTGATCAGCTGCCTCCTGTATGTCCCTACCGGGGATTGAGCCTGAAAGCCAGGCAAGTGCCCTGACCGGGAATCCAACCTGCAACCTTATGGTGCACAGGACAACAGCCAACCAACTGAGCCACACTGGCAGGGTAAAGCTGTGATTTTTTAAAATAATAAACTACTGAAGACTTGTATTGCTTGTCTGTCAGATGTAACATCATACTATTGTGTTGTGGATGGTGGCAGCTGCTCAAAGGAAAGTAGGAAGAATAAATGGGAATATGTGAAGAAAAATCAGATTCAAAAGTGATCTCTGATACTTTCTCTTACACATTAGGCTCGGGAACCTGCGATGGATGGACACGATGTCAGAAAGAAAACACCATGAGAAAGAGAAGCAGCTAACCCTGGACTTTTACACAAATGAGGGGGAAGATGGCAACGCACTGAGATGAAAGGGTGTCGGCAGCAGGTGAAGTCTGAACATGAGGCAGTTCCCCTGCAGCTCAGTGCCCACCCCTGCCCCCTGCTCCTGGCTCCTTAAGTCCTATGGGGGTGTCTAATAAAGTCCCCCTCTCCCCCCGGGTTCTTGAAGCATGACAGGAATTAAAACTTTAGCCAAAGGATCTAGACTTTAAAAGGGGAGGTTAGTCTTTATCTGGTGGGTAGGGACGTTTAGATGTCTGAATTCAAGCAGGGACGCCCAACTCCCTCTCCTTCACAACTCTGTCTGGGTCTGCACCACCCTCCTGGTTTGGAGGTGAGACTGGGGGTGTCAGGGTGGGGGCGGATTCCGGGAAAGTACACCTGGCACTGGCTTTGCCTCAGGGGCAGGATTCTTTCAGGACTTAGGAAGGTATGTATGTTAGGTAGGAAAAGGTTCTATAAAATGGACACTATTTCTAAGGACTCAATGAGATACTTTAGAATATTTTACACACTACCAGGCACAGAAGGACCTGAAAAATGTTTACTCTCATTTCACTGATGTGTATCAACAATGAACAAAATATGCTTCAAAGAAAATTTGTTCACAGACCATGAGGAACAACTGCAACTCTGCCGAAATCCAAAAGGCCTGCTTATGATACAATAGAGCAAACCTTTTTTTATCTTTCAAGATGTATCTCTTTAGAAGTTACTGTGGCAACATGTAATTTCAAATCTTGCCATTGCCCAGCAACCATAATCTTATTATATTTTGACAATTAAAACGTCCCGTGTGCTGGCAGAGTTTAACAATCTTATCTATTAACTATGGCCTCCTGCCCTCATGATATGACATCTAACCAGATGCATATCAGTCTTCCTCTCAACCTCACTGTGTCAAAAGAGTGTCTATCAGAGCCAGAGAGTCCTGAAATAAAAGAAGGTGGAAACCCAGGTCGACGGGAGTTTCTTCCATGACCAACAGCCCTATCTTAGTATTGAATGAGAACACAATTCCAAAAAATTAATCAGGAATGAAAAGGTAACAAGTGTTTAAGAAACTCAAAAACTAAGTGTTTAAAGGACTCAAGCAGATACTGTGATGAGGTAAAAGGTAACTAAAATAAGCTGGAAAAAAACCAGGTTTGAAGAAATACCAAAGCATAACTTCAATGACATACAGCTCTGCTCTGGGAACACTCCACCTGGCAGACACTGTCACCAAAAAACAAAGGAAGGGGGAGAAGACGCAGGTGTTTCAGGCAATCTACACATAAAAAGACAGGGTTTGGGGAAGATATGTGCTACAAACCAAGCATGACAGGCATCCAGAATTCTCAGCTGTACACAGATTTATCACACTGCCAGTGGTCCTGTGCACGAAATTCGTGCATGGGAGGGGTGTGTCCCTCAGCCCAGCCTGCACCCTCTCCAATCTGGAACCCTACAATTTGGGACCACTGGCACTTAACCACTCACCTGCCTGTCTGCCTGATTAGCCCTAACCACTCTGCCTGATGGCTTGCTCGCCCCTAACCACCTCTGCCTTGGCACCACCACCACCATGGCTTTGTCTGGAAGGTCTCCTGGTCTAATTAGCACATTACCTTTTTATTAGTATATAGACTAATAGCCCTGTGGACAAATCTGTGCACCAGTAGCTCTCCACCCGCTGCCCTGCTCCTGTAATTCCCCCCGCCTCCTATTTCCTCCCGTCCCCTCATAGCTTGCTGCCCTGCCCCCTCCTGTAGCTCTCTGCTACCCACTTGTGGCCAGTAGCTCACTGCCCAACCCTCCTGCTGATCTGTGATCCAGTCATTACATAGTCATTTGTTACACATCATGGTGTAACAGCCATTTAGATATTACATGTTTATTATATAGGATTATCTATCTGCTTCTTGACACTGAGCCTAAAATAATTAGGACTGGAAGGCAATGGTGAAACAAGATTTGGTTCCTGCACCAGAACAATGCAGGATAAGACAACTGGAGGCAGGGTAGGAAATGGGACCACTTTCATTAATCAGAATTTTACTTTACAATGGGGATGCAAGGATAAAAATTTTCCCAATACAGTGGTATTCAACATCAGCATTCTGGTGTTCTGTTAAGAAAACTAACAATACAGAAAAATATTTATTCAATGGATAGTTATTTCCTTGATTTGCTTTAATTACAGAATCTCTTAACCCCAAACTCCTAAAGCCATCATGAATAATCTAGTTTAATACAAGTTAAGTCTATAAATAAGTTTGTTATTTCTCCTCAAAAACAAACAAACAAAAACCCTACTTAAGTAATTTTTCAAGAATTATTGTTTAAAAAATTTACCTAGAGAAATTAAAATATCAGTCATTTTGCCCTTATAACACATGGTGCTCAAGTTCAAGTATCAATGTTGTATGCTTAACACACCAGCCTTAGTTGTTCTGTTAGTATGCTGGCTTGGAGTCTTCTTAATCACTCTTTTCTTCTCCTTGATAATGCCTATACTCTGGCTTCAGCTCCCATGTGTTTTTGTGGATCCCTTTCACATTCTGAATACCAATTTCTTTTAAGATTTCCTTCAGGTACACCTGAAAAAGAAAAAACACAAACAAAAAACCTGGAGAGAACCACATTTGAATAATAAAAATTATTATCCTAAGAGTACAAATTTTCTTTATAAAGAGGTTCAATGCTACCTTTTGATTCTACATATACCATACATGATAACTGTATTCAACATATGACCATCTGTATTAAAGGGGTGGGAAGAAAAAGTGTCAACAACCAGAGAGCTAAAAACGTCTAGATGAAATTACACTAGAAAATTACTGATGCCTGATGTTTATTAAGATGACACTGTGATCTGCCCCTGAGTTCAGCAGCCTCACTCAGTTCAGTCAGAGAGGGTTATTCTTAAACCAGTCACTTCAGAAACATGTAAAAAGTGACAAATATTTTTGAACAATAATATTCTATGAGGCAAGCGCATAGAATATGTATCTAGATAGAACATATGTATCTAGAATTCTACATGATAGGTATCTAGAATTCTCAGTTCTACGGTGAGTTTTCAAACTTGCTATCAGGACACTTGTTTTTCCTGTGTAATAAAGGAAGTTATTATTTGTATACTCTCATATATTGGCCAAGCTTGTCAAGACAGAGTGAAGGAGGAGAAACCAAGATGGCATCATAGGGTAGACACCTGAATGCAGCCTACCACAACAAATTTGAATTTAGAACTGGAAAACAGGGGTAACATCGCCCTGAAGTGCCAGATGGCAGGCTGAGAGGAGGCTCTACCATCTGGGAAGGAGAGAGAAGGCGCGCTGACCCTCAGGAACTGTGAAGGTGCGGAGAACTGTGCGCGAGAAAAGGCGGCCACCAGACTTCGCTGCTGGCTTGCTTGCAGAGTGCGGAGAGGGCGGGCTGAGTTCGCTACTGGCTTACTCCCGGGCGCTCGGAGCGGGCGGACAGCTAACGTGCGGCCGCTAGCTTTCTTGTTCGGGAGGAAAACAGAACCACCCTATTGCTCTGATAGACAGCCCCAGACAGGGAGAGGCCAGACTGTCAGGCAGTGGGCAGAGATCTCTCAGAGGTGTGTGAAGCCAGTAGCCATTACTGCGGGACTCAGAAACCAGACCCTTGTAGGGAGGGCCTGAATAAAGCTTGTTTGCACCACCCGAGTAAAAATTCAGTTGCTTTCATGTATAGTCCACCTTCATTTCACTAGCTAGTATATTAAAAGGTTATGAAGTATTTTGTTTTATGAAAAATGTCTCTTTTCCCCCTTTTTATAATAAGAATGGTATAAGATTCTCAGTTTATCAATTTGTTAGGTAACAAGATGGCATTATGGTCACATTCCCAAGGTACAGAATTCTTTTGGGAGGGGGGCATGGGGAGCAAACCTCTGGGGTTTTAGAATGTTCCCAAATGCTACCTAAGACCATTTAACTCTAACCAAATGAATTAACTTGGCATAAAACAGTAACAGAAAATAGTAGTTTTTGAAAAACAAGGTCAGAAAGATGCAAGTAGAGAACAGTGAGATCATATAATTCCTCTGCTTAAAAATGTTCTCAACGACTTCCCCTTTGGTCTACAGGTTAAATTCCAAACTTTTTTTTTTTTTTTTTTTTTTTTTTTTTTTTTTTACTAGGAATCCATTCAACTCTGCCTTTTACCTTTGGCCTCATTTTCTAACACTCCCTTTATATATACTTGTCATTTCTGTGTCTGTAGGCTTCTTGTTTCTTCCATATGTCATTCCCTTTTCCTGTAATGCTTATCCTCTTCCCTGAAATCTAAGCTCATCCTTTAAGATCCGTCATTTTTTCAGAAAAACTTTCCCTAACAGTCCCGGCTCTCAACAATATAGCCTTCATAATTATAAACCTTTATTTTCATATCTATTTCTCCCTTCAAACCATGTTCATATTATAGTGACTGCCTGCACATTACAGAGGCCCAGTGCACTTGTGCTAAGAATAAACAAGCGAGCTAAGAGAACTGGAGAAGGGGTTGGTTGAGGGGACATCACTTAGAAGGTATAAGAATAAACGAAGCTAACTCTAGTTCATTTTTAGAATTCAGGCTCTGATTAACTTATAAAGCAATGGTCCAGTTTGAAAAAAATAAAACTTGATTGATTAAACTGTATTACCTGAAAATGAATGATATTTATTGCTAAAATATTATTGGGGACAATTGAGGGGGATATTTGAAGATTAATGCTCCTTTTAAAAAATTCATATATTCACATAAATATTTATTTATTTACTTTTTAAACACCTACTATGTGCCAGGTAGAGTGGTATAGTCCGTTTTTATCCTCAGAGTTCACAGTTTAAGGTAAGGCTATGTGGGGTGGAGACTAAGGCATATAAATAGACAACCAAAATAATAATATGAACACAGTAATAAGGACGTATGGAGAGGATGTTATGGGAGCACTGAGAAGTGGCATCTACCTCAGCCTGAATCAAGACGGTAGGTTCGTTGAGGGTACACATTTGATCATTTAAATTGAATGGCAATTCTGTGCAGAAATCAAGAGAAACTAGTTTCCTCTCATTCTAAACATTGACTTTTCAATTTAACCTTCTGCCTATTTGTATTTTAAACAAAGGATTCTAGAACTGAGTAGATAACCTTGATAAGACAGGGTCAGAGAGATTTCTTTCTTTTTTTAAAAAAATATATTTTATTGATTTTTTACAGAAAGGAAGGGAGAGAGATAGAGAGCTAGAAACGTTGATGAGAGAGAAACATCAACCAGCTGCCTCTTGCACACCCCCTACCGGGGATATACCCGCAACCAATGCACATGCCCTTGACCGGAATCGAACCCGGGACCTTTCAGTCCGCAGACCGACACTCTACCACTGAGCCAAACCGGTTTTGGCTCTTTTTTCTTTTTCTTTTTTTTATATGTATTTTTACTGATTTCAGAGAGAAAGGGAGAGGGAGAGATAGAAACGTCAACGATGAGAGAAAATCACTGATTGGCTGCTTTCTGCCAGCTCCCCACTGGGATTGAGCCCACAACTCGGACATGTGCCCGACCAGGAATCAAACTGTGACCTCCTGGTTCATAGGTCAATAATCAACTACTCAGCCACACCGGCGGAGCAGAGAAATTTCTCACTGCTGACTCTGTGCAGTGCTGCAGAACACTTTGAATAAACTGGCAGAGGCCTAGCAGTTCTTCTCTAGAGGGATGTGTGGGAGAGTATTTACAGTAAGTCTGCATGCAGAGAAAAAAGGGATAGAATATTACCGCTTCCTTGGAAAGAAAAGGCACAACACATACTGAACCAAAGAAATATAGGATGTGGTCTGCATTTGTGGGTCAAGATATAATTGCAGAGGCCAAAAAGCCAGAAATACACAGATCAAAGCCCTAATTTACCCCCTTCCCTCCCCAAGATCGAGACGAACCTATTTTAGTCTCTTTTACTCCTCCTTTCCCTTCCTGCACCCCCAGCTATTTCTCCTATGTTTTCTACCTACTGCGTGGCCAACCAAATGAAGGATTTATTTGCATTTCATTTTATGAGGAATTTCAGTGCGTTACATAAATAATAATACAATAACTACATCTAAATTCCCTGAAGTTGATAAAAAAATATAGCTTTGATAAAAAGCTGATCACCAGTAATACTGCTTTAGGTAGTAAGCCAATACTATGACCCTACGAGTCACAAAATGTTCCCAAGTTGCCGAAACTGGTTTGGCTCAGATAGAGCGTCGGCCTGCGGACTGAAAGGTTCCAGGTTCGATTCCGGTCAAGGGCATGTACATTGGTTGCGGGCACATCCCCGGTATGGGGTGTGCAGGAGGCAACTGATAGATGTTTCTCTCTCATCGATGTTTCTAACTATCTCTCTCTCTTCTCTCTGTAAAAAAAATCAATAAAATATATTACAAAATATATATATATAAAAAAATGTTCCCAAGTTGGACTGCATATGCAATATGCAAATCTACACCAAAGTCAGCACTGGTTAATGCAGTCACTAAAAGGAGTCACCATATGCTGCTTAGAAAGTGACCCAAGGGCAAGAAGGACAGATCAGTTCCGTGATGCTATCAGAGTATCACTTCATGCTCGTATGATTTTGTGTGACTGTGACTCCTGTTTTAAAAAAAATATATTTTATTGATTTTCCACAGAGAGGAAGAGAGAGGGATAGAGAGTTAGAAACATCAATCAGCTGACTCCTGCACTACCCCTACTTGGGATGTGCCCGCAACCCAGGTACATGCCCTTGACTGGAATCGAACCCTCGACCTTTCAGTCTGCAGGCCGACGCTCTATCCACTGAGTCAAACCGATTTCGGCTGACTGTGACTCCTTTAAGCAAGTCAACAGAACAGAGGACTTACTGATACTGGTGAAACTGTTAGTGGCTTCAAAGCACACATTGTTTCATAAAACAACAACAACAAACTACACATTAAGCATAAGCTGCGAAGAAATACAACATAGGTTTTTCACCCCTTTGCATACAGAAAACTGGGAAGAGGAGAGGGAAAGTGCAGTGGGGACATCTCTGGACCATGAGCCACCTTGGCACTTGTCTCCTGTTTTCCTTCTTTTGGTTTCACTTCTGCTGTCTTACTAGCCCCTGCGCCCTCTCTTCCCCTCAGGCTCCTGTTGGCTGCATTCCTCTCTTTGTAATACTCTTAAGAAGCAGAAAGATGATGGTGATGAAATGGTCAAGGCACAACCCTACCAATGCCTGCCCTATCAGATGGCTTAATCCAAGTTGTGAGAAAATAATTATTGCATTAATATTTGTGTGCTGGTAAATCATCTCACTTTCAGAAACACTTCATCTACCTGGAATTGGCAAAATATTCATGTTTGCATATTTCAGATAAAGTTCACTTCCTTTGGGCCAAAACATTTAATTGTAACTATTTGCTTAATGACATGCTTTCTAAATTGTGTTAGTTCATTTGCATGCTGAACATAATAGGCATTCTAAGACTGAGATATGATAGCTTCCAATTGAGAAAAAAAATGCATATATAGTTAATGTTGAAGTGGTTAAAAGAAAAATACAAAAAAGAAAAAAAG